TGGATACATTTGTTGATAAATAGCAAGTGCTGTGTTGACTAACAGTACAACCAGTTACTGTAATATTAGCAAGTGATCCAGTACATATTTGATAATCCTGTATCAATAATATAATGGTTATTGTGTGTTGTGTATGGAACTGTGTATAATGCTTACTGGTAAAAGGAATTGTAAACTCCAGTTGTTGTCCATGTGATATGTAGATTCTTGATGAACAATTAAAATTTTTGAATCTAACACATTTGAAAATAGAAAATTATTTTATTTTGTTATACGCCTACCTAAGTGAAATTCCACAGTTATGTTACTAGTAGATCCATTCCCAGCTTTATTAGTAGTTGTAATGTTAAACAGATATTGTTTATTGGTTAGGTTCATTGGACAGTAAGAGTAGTTAGTGATAGTAATAAGAGTCATTAAGGTACTGTTGATCAGTTCCTACACTGATTATATACTGTACTGTTAGTCCTGGTAGTGTGAATGGAGGATACCAACTGATAAACATACAACAAGAATCTAACTGATATCCTGTTAAATTACTGACACTATCAGGAGGACCTGTCAGTAATAATAACACACAGATCTAAAATATTGACTAGCCTTGAACATAAAGATAGGCAGTTTCAGCAGCATTTCCATCATTACTAAATACTTTGCAGGTAACATCAGTTCCATTTGATTCCTTAGTTGCTGTTACGTTAAATGATATCATCATCCCCCCATTAGGTAATGTTACAGATGTTTGTAGAGATGGTGGTATTCCTCTAGCTAAAATAACAAGAGTATATATCCAGTCTCATTAGTAGCACAATCAAATGTCACTGTATCATTGATATAAACATATTTTGTGACTGGTACAATAGTGAAAATACCTATATCAGAACAACATAAAATAGTAATTACAATAATAAAGTAAATATACCAGCAGCAGCAACAGTCATAAATCGAGTCAATATTATAGCTGCCACAAGAGTAACCATTATCCTTGAAGGTGTGGGCTTTCCTATAGTGACTTCCTTTGGGTGTACGCTATTTATGAATACACTGAGGCAGAGCTCACAGTGATGATAAAGGGACACAATACACAATGCAAGAGGAATGTGTGTGGGAGTGACAATTGATATCTAATGTACAGCTACTACTATGACAACTGAAAATGCATTTGTTTTAGATACAGAACCATTGTTACTGCTACAGTAAGTTTTAGTTGTTCCTTAACAGTTGTTTTATATACTAGATTATTACACTAACTACATGTAGTCTAGGTAGGTATATATACACCTTATGACTAATTACACAGTTAAATGAACACACATAACGTGTCAAAGTGTCAATCTGGTCTCAAGTTAATAAACAATTACAGTCCAGTTCCCTCAATAACACCATAAGCAGGACATTCCTTCAATGATAGTACTGATTGTGGGGCTGGCATGTTCTCATACTGTGAATTAACAACTGGTGATGATAGTTCTTGTACTTGTGAATCTACAATAGACCACCCTAGGCGAGAATTGAATGCGTAGGAAGATTATTAGAAATTTTTACGGTTGTAAGGCGTGGTTTAGGATGAAATAAATTCCGGCCGCCATTTTGGTTGGCAACTTTCAATCATAGATTGTATTACTAAGTAACAGGGATTGGAAACAGATCACGTGATCTCATTCAAATTAATGAAAGCAGGTGCGGACGAACCTTGTAAGACTCTGCCCCTTCCCCGGCTCGTTGAGACTAGAGCAATATGACTGAGAGGACTGCTGGATTAAGTGTAGCTTGAAGCCAGATCCAGGGTAGTTATATAGCTTATATTGTTGCTGAAGGTTTACTTACTTATTAGAAACTGTTAAAACTGTAATACAGCACTTTATTTTGAAGAAAAATGAGAAAAAGCATGCTTTTTTACCATGCGTGATAGGTGTGAAATCTATTCAACCTATAACTTGCTAAGGGTAACTAAAACTGAGAGAGTGTCAATATAAAAAACATGCATCAAGTAAAGCTACGTGCCACTAAGACACTTTTATTATCACTAGTGCTTCATACAGATCATAAGATCCCAAAATGTCGGTTTTTAGAGGCGTATCTGTTCAACCTATATCACAAAAAGTAAGTAAAATTAGGATAAAGGACAAAAACTGTAACAAAGATCAGGATTTTTCACATGCCTTTAGCCTATTATATAAGCCAT